GTTTGCAAAAGTGAAAAATTAGAAATAAGCTGATATGGGGCTGGGGAGATGGTTCAGTGAATGAGAGCGCTTGCTCTGCAAAAATGAAGGCCTGAATTCAAATCTCCAGCCCCACATTAAAAAAAAAAACCAGGAATGGCTGTGTGTGCCTATAACCTCAGCACTGGGGTACAGCAGAGGCAGGCAGATCCAAAGAGCTCACTGGCTAACACATCTAGCTAGCTGGTCCAGTGAGAGAGGGTTTCAAGGCAGTAAAGCAGACAGCAATGGAGGAAGACAACTGAGGTCCTGCTCTGGCCTCTGCATACATACGCACACTCATATGCATGCACCATACACAACATACCACACATAGACACACACAGATACATACACACACACACACACACACACACACACACACACAAAACACAACACATAGGCACACAAGAACCTGATACTCATTAATAAACAGATTTGTTAACTTATAAAATCTCAATATTATGAAGCATTAAATAGAAAAGTAATACACACACACATATGCATGCATATATATCTATATACATATATACATGTAAAGAATAAGAATAATGCCCATGGGGTGTGGGGATGTAGCTCAGTTGATAGAGTGCTTATCTAGCATGCATAAGCCCCGGGTTCCATCCCCAGAACAGCATAAACTAGGAGTGGTGGTACACATCTATAATCCCAGCACTTAGGAGATGGAGTTAGGAGAATCAGAAGTTCAAGGTCATCCTTATCTGCAGAGTGAGTTGGTGGCTGTCCTGAACTACATAACACACTTCTGTCAGAGCAAGAGGTCCATGGACCCATGATTTAGATACAGGGCTGTCCAATATTTTAACACTGCAGTATAACACAGTCATCTACAAATGCGTTGGGCCACATTATAGTTGTCCTGGGACCCAAATGGGCCCATGTCGGCCTTAGATTACTAACTGGACACGCCTGACAGGTATTTGGTTTAAAAAGTAGGATCAGCTGGGTCTAATGATGCATGCCTTTAATCCCAGCAATTGGGAGGCAGAGGCAGCCTAGTCTACATAGTGAGTTCTGGGTCAGCTGGGGCTACAGAGAGACCGTCTCAAAGAGACCAAAAAAAAAAAAGGGACCAAGGACCAGTTTGTATCATACATAGAGTGGTATCATTTTTGTTAAAAACAACAAAACAAAACCAGAATGATTCATGGGTATAGGATTCAAGCCGGATAGGAGGGGTAATATATTTTATTGTTTTTTTGTTTCGTTTTATTTTTTTGGTTTTTTTTTTTTTTTTTGGTTTGGGATTTTTAAAAAAATTTATGTATATGAATATTTTGTGTGCATGTATATAAGTGCATCCCTGCATGCAATGCCTGTCGAGGGCAGAAGAGGGCATTGGATCCCCTGGAATTGTAGTTACAGATGGTTGTTAGCCACCCTGTGGGTGCTGGGCATCAAACCCAGGTCCTCTGGAAAAGCAGCTAGTGCTCTTAAGCAGTGAGCCACCTCTCCAGACCCTGGCTTGGGATTTTTTGGAGAAAGAGTCTCACTATGTAGCCCTGGCTGGCCTGGAAGTCACTACGTAGACCAGGCTGGCTCAAACTCCCAGAGATCCTCTGTCTCCTGCCTTTGTCTCCTAAATTAGAAGCACGTGCCACCCTGCCCAGCTCTTCATTATTTAGTTAGCATAAAGAGGACAAGTTGTTGGGTTTTTTTGTTTTTGAAAAATGTGTATGCATAAACATAATCTATAATATACTTCAAATTATTAACTATCTTTCTAAAAAAAAGGTTTTTATTCATTTTTATTTTATGTGAGTGCCCTGCCTGCATGTATGAAAGTGTACCACATGAATGCCTGGTGCCAGGGGAGACCAGAAGAGGGCATGATTCTTTGGAGCTAAGGATGGGTGTTAGCTACCATGTGGGCACTGGGAAACGAATCTGGGCCCTCTGAGAGAGCAGTAAGTGCTCTTAACCCCTGAGCCATCTCTCTAGCCCTGATTATCTTTCTTTTGGTTTTGGTTTTTTGGGGTTTGTTTTTGTCTTTTTGAGACAGGGTCTCCCCATAGCCCTAGTTGACCTGGAACTCACTATGTTGACCAAGCTAGCCTTGAACTCACAGAGATCCACCTGCCTCTGCCTCCCAAATGCTGGGATTAAAGGGGAGCACCACCATGCCTGGCTCTAATTATCTTTCTTTAGAGAAAATTCTAAAACAATTTTCTCTAGGTCTATGTTGTTTAAATTTGTTATTCAAAATTCACTTCATGGGGCTGGTGGGATGGCTCAGTGTGTAAAGACACTAACCCCAAAACCTGATGACTTGAGTTCCATCCCTGGGACCCACATGGTAGAAGGAGAAAGCCAACACCCAAAAGTTCTCCTCTGACCTCCACACACGTGCCATGGCATGTTCACCCCCTCACCCCTCAACCCCATACAGCAATCACTTCATAATGGGGAAAAAAAAATGGTTCAACTTTGAAAAACAAAGTAGATCCTATGACTGAGTGCCACAACTTGTGCTGTTTGATTTGGTTTGGTCTTTTGCAAGTGGTTCTAGAAGACCTCAAAACTTAATTTCCCAGGGGCTGGGTCTCATGACATATGTACCCAAACTTGGCACCTCTCCCTTGGGAAGCCCACCCCATCCTCATGCTTAAAAACTTTTTCAATTTTGTATTAGTTTTTAGTTATTTATTGTTGGGGGTTTTGTTGTTGTTCTTGGAGTTTTTTGTTATTTTATTTATTTATTATTTTTATTTTATGTGTATGAGTGTATCGCCTGCATGTATGTGAGTGCACCCATGTCCTGCATTGCCATGGAGGTCAGAAGAGGGCTTCAGAGTCCCCTGGAACTGGAGTTAAGGATGGTTCTTAGCTGCCATGTGGGTGCTTGGAATTGAACCCGGGTCCTCTGCCAGAACAGCCAATGCCTTACATGCTGAGCCGTCTCTCCAGCCCTGTTGTTGGGTTTTAAGAGAGTCTCACTGTGTAGCTGGCTGACGTGGAGCTATGACAACCAGGCTGGCCTCAAACTCACAGAGATCTACCTGCCTCTGCCTTCCAAGTGCTAGGAATGAAGGCCTGTACTAACATGTCTCATTTAGTTTTATCCTATGTATTGACTGTACCAATATAAGTGTACCATGTGTGCAATTACCTTAGAAGCCAGAAGATAGTGTCAAATGCCCCTGGAATTGGAGTTACAGACGGTTGTTAGCTGCAAGTGGGTGCTGGAAATTGAACCCAGCTCCTCTGCAAGAGGGGCTAGTGCTTTTAAAACACTGAACCATCTCTTTAGCCTCTACTCAAAAGCTGTATTAAAGTCACTCTTGGGGCTGGAGAGATAGCTCAGTGGTTAAGAGCACTGACTGCTCTTGCAGAGGACCCAGGTTTGATTCCCAGCACCCACATGGTGGCTACAAACCGTCCTTAACTCCAGTTCCAGGGGATCTGATGCCTTCTTCTGACCTCCTGGGCCTTGCATGACACAGGCACAGGCATTGTACTATACACACATGCAGGCTATACACTCATACACACACACATACACACACACACACACACACACACACACACACACATGCACACACAAAAAATAAAGTGACTCTTAAACTCTAAACCCCAACTCTGGTTCAAAAAAATTTACATATATATATTATATACATGTATTATGTACACACACAAATTAAAGTTCATTTGTGTAAAGAAGTTTTGTTTTAAGCTGGGCATGGCAGTGCATGCCTTTAATCCCAGCACTCAGGAGGCAGAGGCATCAGATCTCTGTGAGTTTGAGGCCAGCCTGGCCTACATATTGAGTTCCAGGCGAGCTGGTGCTACAGGGAGACCCTGTCTCAAAAAAGACCAAAAAAAAAAAAAGTTTTAGTTTGTGGAGATTGTGTGTGTGTGTGTGTGTGTGTGTGTGTGTGTGTGTGTGTGTGTGACAGGTTCTCATTGTGTAGTCCAGGCTAACCAGCAACTTGTGGCAATCTCCCTGGCTCAGACCACCGAGTGCTGGGACACAGGTGTGAGCCAAGGCAGCTGCCTGGTTCATCCTGGGGTCTGTAAGAGGCTCCTGGACAGAAGTCAGCTTCTGAATGTGCAACTAACAAAGCCTCCAGAGTTTTAGCACTACTAGGATTTCTCTCGGATGCTCTCAGTCTACGAGAACATGAGACAAACATTTCCCTTGCTCTTTGTCAACTTTGGTGATCGTCAGTTTTGGAAGACAGAGACAGAAAAACTACCCTGGGTTTGGAACTGAAGCAGTTGTTAGGAAGAAACCATGCCCCCCCAAGCTGGTATTCGAACCCAGGCCTCACGGATACCTGAAGGCACTCCACCCCTGAGCTGCATCTCCTGCTCCTCCTCTGCTTCCTGAGCCTGTATTCTGCATGTGATTTTGTAAACAACGTTTCCTTTTAACTTAAAAGTGGTCCCAAGCTTCCAAAAAAGTAGTTGCTCTAATTCCCTATTGTTGAACACGAAGTGAGCACTGTTCAACAGTTCACTTTAGTGCCCTGGGCTTTGTCTGTACCTGTAAAAAAAAAAAAACAGGCGAGGGTGTCCTTGGACGACCTGTGAGGCCCAGGCTCTCAGCTGGCCACTTGGGCCCTGAAGACATGGTTCCTACCAAGGCAGGTCCCTTATGTCACAAAGGGCTCTAGCTCCCCCTCCCCCCGCATTCACACAGAGCTCAGGTTGCAGTCTCAGTCTTCAGGCGCCTCCGTGTTAATTATGGAGAGGCAGGTGAGAGGCTACAGACCTGCTGAGTAGCATAGCAATTAGGTTTTCCAGAGTTTCTGTTGAACCTGCTCCCCAGCTGGAGCCAATTTAACTTTCTACTGTACTTTGCTTCTAAAATGTCTGACAATAAGATGCGAGGTGACAGAATGTTTGGCTCTGGGCCCCCTATTGTCCCCAGAACCCATCTGTGCACATAGCAGGGTGCACCCCACTAGCAGCAAGTGCAGACACCCAGGCCACAGCCACCTCCCAGGGCGGGGGCTTACCACACACAATGCAGGTAGGGAAAGTGGAGGGAGGAGAGCAGCTCACAGAAGGCTCTGTCACTGATCCAGCAGAAGAGGGCGAGGGTCCACCAGAGGCCAGAGAAGAGGCCCAGCTTAAACACACGTACATTGTCACATCTGCAAGGAGGAAGCAGAGATCAGTGTCAGTCCTCCACCTGGTTTGCGGGTCATCTCTTCTGGGCTTCTGCTGCTTCTCATGTCCCCAATCTCTTGGCATTGGAGTTCTTATAGAAGACACAGTCACTCCACAGTCTCATGGATACAAATATCACACGTACACATGTGGCTCACCTAACCCAGTTTCCCCCACAAGCCTGATCCCTGACATCCAATACAGATATAAATTCAACATGTGCACAGGAAACACCTAATCTTTCTTCCCACCCCACATTCCCCACATCCAGTCTCTCAGCTCTTCAGAATACATCCCAAATCTGCCCTGTGTCCACATGGTTCCAGGTCCCCATCATCCCCTCTATGACCTACTCTCACCTTTGACCCTGTAATCAACTTGCAACACTGTGCTCCAGGGCTTTAGTGAGAGGGTAGCCGCAGCACTCACAGGATCCCCACTACCCATGCGTGGGCTCCCCTTCTCTTCTCCTCCCTGTTCTGGCCCTCAGGACCTTTGCTCAGGCTGTGGTTGATCTGTGTCATTGTCAAACACCCCTTAGGGGAAATGGGCCCTGCAACCTTCATATTCACTTTACCTGGGGTGGTCTTCCCCTACATAGACCATCTTCAAGTGATGCTCAACATCACTCAGGAAGCCCTTTCCTGATCACAGTGTTTAAGACTTACAACAGCTCTCCCCTACCAAGATCCTCCCCTCTGTCCTCTATTCCTCCTTTTGTGTCTGTCTGGGATATCTTCTGTTTTGCTATTTGTTCAGAGTCTGTGTCCCCCATTGACATATAAACTATTCACTGCTGTATCATCTGCACCTGGAACTGTGTTGGGCACAGAGAAAGCTCTCAGAATTTGATAAATGAAGGAGAGTTGTTACACACATTAGGACACATTGTCCTTTTGAACAAGTCGCACTAGTTGAGAGGAAACCGCAGTGGCTGTGTTCTTTCCTTGTTATGGAGTCACTCCTAAACTGGGTGACTTCCACTCTTGGCAGAGGAATGCCCAGAGACAGCTGGTGGCTGGGGGTGTGCAAAACCTTTCTTCCAAGGCCTTTTCCCTCAGTAGACCACTTCTAGGTCAATTATGGTCTCTCTTAGGGGCCCAGAGTCCAAGAAAGACTTAATTCATATTTATTGACAAAACAGGCAGATATCAAACGCCTGACATGCTAGTTTTCTGACAGAAACATAAGCCAAAGCTTCGATGAAGATGGGACAGGGTGCCAGGCATGGTGGTGCCCACCTTTAATCACAGCACTCAGGAAGCAGAGGCAGGTGGTGAGCTCCAGGCCAGCTGGGGCTCCAAGGACACGCTATCTCAAAAAGACCAAAAAAAGATTATTCTTTTTTTGAAGAAGATTATTATAAAAGATTATTCTTTATGAAGAAGGAGGAGGAGGAGGAGGAGGAGGAGGAGGAGGAGGAGGAGGAAGAGAAGGGACAAACAACAGGTTCACAAAGACCTGCTTCCAAACACAAACTAGGGGGCTAGAGACATGGCTCAGCACACCCACATTGGGATTCTCACAATCACCTATGACTCCAGTTCCAAGGAATTCAATACCTTCTTCTGGCCTCCGTAGGCTCCTGCACACACATACAGATGAGCAGGCACACACACATATTTTTAAAAAAATTTTTTAAATTAAAAATGCCTTCTTACAGGAGGCCAAATGCCACATTTGAAAACTGTTTTTGAAAGAATGGAGACTCATCACATGTAGAAACCGTTAGTCAGTTCTCCATCACTGTAACAAAATACTGGAGACAAACAACTTAAAAGGAAGAAAGATTAATATTGGCTCATGGTTTCGGAGGTTGCAGGACATGGCTTCTTGGTCTTGTTGCCTTTGGAGCTGTGTCAAGGTAATACATCACAGCAAGGAGCATGGGGCTAAGCAAAGCTGTTCACTTCATGACTGCCAGGAAGCAAAGTCAGAATCAGCCAGGGTCCCAAAATCTCCTTCAAGGACACATCCTCATGTGACCCAGCTTCTTTCTATAAGATCCTCTGACTAGTGACATAGGCTGACAGCCAAACTTTGAGCAGTCATGACATTTAAGATACAAGCCACAGACTCTAATGGAGTCCTGTGACTGAACCAGAGAGTTAACCATCTTCATTTTCCCCCTTCGCTTGAGCACACTCTACCTAGAATAACAGCTTCTGGCTTATAAACAATAAACAGTTATTTCTCTGTTTAACAATAAACAGTTAATAAACAGTTGAGGAGGCTGGGAGGTTCCTTTCTCCATGTTAGGTACCTGGATCCCATGTTAAGCACTTGGGTCCCATGTTAGGCACCTGGGTCCCATGTTTCTCTATGTGGAGAAAGGGAGAGGCAGCCTTCTAGGGCTCTAGGGTCTCTTTCTATATAGGGTCTCATTATGTAGCCCAAACTGGTGTCCAAATTGCAGTTCCCCTGTCTTAGCCTCCTAGATTCCATAGTTTCAGGTGTGCACTACCCCCCAGCTTGGGGCCTCTTGCATAAGGGCACCAATACCATTCATGAGGGCTCTACCCTCATTACCAAATCAAGTCCTCCAAGTCCCCACCTCCTAACACCATTTCCTTGGTAATTAGGTTTTAAACTATAAATCTAGAGGGAGACAAGCATTCCAGTCCATCAAAGGCAGATACAGAGAGCCGAGGATGGACCTTTGTGAAGAAAGTCAGAGAAACTAGAAAGGAGCTGGTGGAGTTCAGAGGAAAGCCCAAGGGTGCAGAAGCAGAGCCATAGGAAAGCATACACCTAGGATGGTGGAGGGAGGGCTAACTGCAAACAGCCAGAGCAAGACTGAAGCAACAGGTGGGCTGAATAATAATCACTAGCCCAGCGACACCAAGAGGGAGTTCGGGACTTGAAGCCAGTTTGCAGTGGGTTGTTCAGAGTGAGAGGTATGGGAGGGAGGTCTAAGAAAGTCTAGCTGCAATATAGAAGAGGTGGTGCTGGAAAAGGTGCTGCAAGATGTACTTAGATTGAGTTGGGCTGGGTTTAGAGAATGGGGGAGACCTGGAATATGCTGTACCACTGAGCTACATCCATAGCCAAGCATTTGAGCTGAGGAGCCCTTTAGAGAGAGACAAAACATAACAGAAAACTCACAGGAGTGACCCAGGTACAGTGAGTGGATGGGACAACGAGGAGGAACCACTGAGGCTTCCCAGGATGCTGCAATTTGTTAATGTTAAGGGGACAGCCAATCACCGTGACAGCTAGCATTTCCAGGGAAGAGGGTTTTAAGCATAGAACCGAGTCTTGTAAAGACTAACACACTAAGGGAATGTATACTTCCCTGTTAGAAGATCATAATTGTGAATTTAACTACATAATAATCTGCCCTAGGCACTTGGCTCCCCATGTACTCAATTAGGTATTATGAACTTAAAATACTGCCCATTTTCTTAGGCTATATTTTAAATAAAATTATAGGCTGAAACATATCATTTAGACTCAAGAATCAAAATGAAACTAGATTGTACTGACTTCTCAAGCAACAGCTAAATCCAGAACATTCTATTCACTTCGGGCCCAATAGAAGCCACTGGACTGAATGTTCCAAATAAAATCTAATTTAGATGTCTTTGCCAGCTATTTAATTATGTGTCTTCTGCAGAGCTTCAAAATCTGTTAATATCCAGGGTTGCCTAGAGGGAGCAGCAAGCAGGGCGAGAGCCTCAGGTACCAGTCACTCAGCCCACAAACACTACAGAGAAAGGGCAGTTCAGCATTCGCACCCAAGGAAAGCCAGGGAGAATCCCTTGATAGTGAAGCACATGCCGAGAAGAGGATCTAAATCAAACAAGAAGTATGTGCCTCTCTTAACATTGATTTACCCGCCATTGTTAAAACCTCAGGACAAGAAAAAAGAAACACAACTAATATTTGTTAAGTATCCACCGTGGGACAGATACTGCACTAGATACACCTTACTTAGTCATCACTATAGGATTATTCAACTACACTCTGCTTGCTTGTTTGTTGAGATAAAGCCTCACTATATAGCCCAGGCCTTGAATTTGCAATTCTCTAGCCTTAGCCTCCCAAGTGCTGCCAATATCCTGTTTTGTTGCTTTAAAAAAAAAAAAAAAAAAGAAAATAGACCTAAGCCTTATTATCTATTCTACTTAAATATGGACCAGAAGACCCAAGGAAGAAAATAATGCTTATTATTTCTGAGCTAATGGAAAGCAAAGCCAAGACCCAAACTCAGCACTGTGGAGCCCCTGACCCCAGGTGTCTTCTAGTACCCTCTACTGAATGCTTGTGTCCTCAAGGAGTCCTGTGGTGCCGGAGTAAAACAGTGGTACCTGACACACCATCTGAGAAGACATGCTCTTTAGAATTTTCAGAGGTAATTGGCACCTTGGAAATTTTACAGAAAAGTGTAGTTTCTGTCTTCGAATAATGCACCAGAGAGGAGGAAGAGAAAAAAGAGAAATCTCTACATTAGAGGGAGAATATGCTAAGTACAATGTAGAAATGGAGAGCTTAGGAAGAGAGATACCACCTCTAGCTAAGGAGGAAGAGGGGTGAGAAAAGGCCTCAAAAGGGAGCTGATAACCAAGCTGCTGCTGTGAGAGGGCAGCCAATACTTGTATTGTATAGGACAGTTCTCTGACAGTCAGATGCTACCTTCCAAAGCTTGGCTGTGCCTACTTGCCTAGGATCATTACAGCTGAGCTTGTTAACTGCCATGCCCCACAACAAAGGAGGGACAGGGTGAATCACAGAGCCCCTTGCCTAAGAGTCCAGCCATACTTCCCAACCAAGCAGTCGGCCCTAGTTCCACATAGCCTGAGGAAGGGGCTAAGGGTATTTAGTCTGGGGAAGCCGAGGGAGGGTCTCTCTTACCATTTTGCGCAGCTATGAGGAAGTCGCCATCCATGGTTGGAGACTTTCCAGTTGTGGCCTTAGGGGAGAGCACCCATACTCCTGTAAGTAAATCCTTACCCATTGCTATATAAGTAAGCCCAATAAACTC